GCCTTAGCTGCCCACTCCAAATACATGAAGCCAAGGCCCTGGGCTTCCAAAGGCCCTAGTTACAGAGGTTTGTATATCAGACAGCAGACTTGGCCATGAATGCAGATGCCCTCATCCCACAACCACCTCCCTGCTAGCACGAGGGCGATGGCACCTGGAACATCAGCTTGGCTGGCTTCCTGCTTGGCGTAAGGCTTGTGGCTGGCAAAAACCATTAGGAATTATTAAATATCTCCCAAAAGTGGCAAATAAAAGAGATACAGGACCCATCATTGAGTAATCTTTAAAAATAGATTAATTTTTCTGAAACAAGTGATTGAACAGAGTGGCCTTGACTACAGCTTTGTTTGAAAAGAAAAGCTATTAGATAATCCTCAGAAGCAAGGCTACTGACTGTGTTCAGAGGAGGGGGGAAGACAATACTTCCAAGTCAGGCCAAAGTAAGTACCTAAAAGTCTACTGTATGACATTTAATTTAGGCAGTTTATATAGGGCACTCACAACCTCTGCTTGTGATTCCCCCCACAACCTCAATAAGATAAATATAATGGGCTCCATTTTACAGATATTAACACCGAAGCCCAGAAAGGTGAAAATAGTTGCCTGAGGCCACACAGCCAGTAAGCCACAGAAATGGGACTCACTCCCTGCTCTGTCTCTAGGCAACACTCTTTTCCAGGGAATCCCGAGTTTCCAAACCGAAGTGCATTTCCTTTCATTTTTGCCAAAAACCATAAACCATTCAGCCCTCACTGAAATGTTACTCTGAGATCTACAATCCTAATCTACTGAGGTGTTTCTTAATCTGTTGGTACTGGGGTCAAGCTTGTTTTCTCTATGCAGCCAGAGTTTGAGCCATGACAGTCTACTAGGAAAGGTGGCTAGGAATCAGGATGCACAAGTTGTGTCCCTTCATTTGGGACCTTGAATTTGACCCTTCTCTCTAGGTCTCCAGCTACCATCCAAGTCTCAGTTCCTCCTCACAGCAAAATTCCCAAGAGTAGTCTATATCACTGGCTCTAAGTGGGGTGTGGTTTGGGAGTCTGTGAAGCCGAACCCTTCCATAATGACAATACGGAAGTATCTGCCTTTTTCACTTTCATTCTCTCATAAGTGTAGAAAGGAGTTTTCCAGAAATTCCATGAGTGACATGGCACCAGATTTATACTGCAGAAACAAATGAGAGTTCAGCTGACCATTAAAGAGATTTACAAACCTAAAACAACGCCACTACAACACACTAAATTTTCGTTTCTGAAAATAGTTATTTTTCATAAAATATGACACTTCTGATAACATGTAACTGGTTTACTGTTACTTATTCATTCATTTGAAAGGAACATTTAAAATATTTGTTGTAATTTTTAATACTGCAAACATCCATAAATATAACACAAAACGAAAGCTCTTTGGAATTCTCAATTCCTAGAGCGTAAAGGGCTTTCAGATCAAAAACTGTGAGAATCATTGGTCTATTCTCTCAGTTTCCAATTCCTCTCCTCTCATTCTGTTTCAAATCCACTCTAGTCAGGGGTTCCCCCATTACACCATTAGAATTGCTCAGGGGCCCTAATGACATCTCATGTGCTAAATCCGGTGGTTAATTGTCTTCACCTCACTCGACCTACCAACAGCACATGCCACAGCTGATCACTCCCTTCTCTGGAGGTCTTTACCTATGTCTCTGGCACCGTTCTTTCTCCCCAGCCTCAATGCTGGGTGGCCCAGAGCTCGGGCCTCTGACCTCTGGTCTCTCTCCACTCTAAGATCTCAGCAAGCTCTAAGTCTGTGTCTCTAAGCTGGACCCCTTCCCTGAACTCCAGACTCATCTGCTGCCCATTCCACACCTGCACTTGGATTCTAAATAGGTGTGCCAAACTTTTACATGACTAAAACCTAACTTTCTCCAGCCAAATCCACTTCTCCCAGTGTCTTCCCCATCTCATCTGATGGCAATTCTATCCTTACAATTGCTCAAGCCAAAACTTTGGAGTCATCCTTGATTCCTTCCTCTCCTACCTCACACCCAATCCAGCAGGAAATCCTGTTGGCTCTGACAAAAAAAAACAACAACAACCCAATCCAATCATCACCTCCCCTGCTCCACTGTATCAAGCCACCCACCATCATCTCTCACCTGGATTATTACTGCAGCCTCCCATCTTATCCCTTCACTTGCCCCCTGCAGCTTATTCTCAGCACAGCAGCCAAAGTGATCCTTTCAAAACTCTTCACACTGGCTTGCAAGGCCTTGTCTGCTTGACTTCCGTCATCTCTCTGTCCTCCTTGCCTGTACTCCCCTCCTTGCTCACTCTGTACAGCTTTCAGGCCCTTACACTGACTGTTACTTCTGTCTGGGATGCTCTTTCCCCAGAAATCCTCCAGACTTGCTTCCTCAACTACTTCTAACCTTTGTTCGAAGGTCACCATCTCAAGGAGACCCATCTGATCTCTCCCATTTAAAAGTACAACCCAACTCCCACCACTGTCATCTCCCTTACCCTGCTCTGCTCCCTCCACCCCAGTACTTAGCACTGTCTAACATATTACACATGATTATTGTCTGTTTTCCCAGGAGACGGAAGCTCCACAACTGCACAAGTTTTTATCTGTTTTGTTCATTAATGTATCATCTGTGACTTAAATGGTGCCTGGCAAATATTTTTCCAATAACTATGTTGAATGAGTAATTGGAATTAGCTTTTCCACCCATAAAGCTTGGCAGGGGAAGAGAAGGTTAAACTCAGTGTTCTTCCTAACTCAAGCTTCTGATTCTCTAACCAGCCAGATACAGCTCATCTACACCACAACCAAGTCAAAGCTTTTGGCACAAGGTTTAGCTTTGGTCACACAGACATGGGCCCAGGCCCACAGTTCTAAGTGCCTACCTAGGACAGGGCAGGACAGGCTACGGTCAAATTGGCACCACCAGTACTGTACTGACTAGCCACAAAATGAGTTAAACGAACAGCCTGGGACATTTACCAGTGACCACGTTCCTAATCTTTTCTCCTCTTCTCAAGGTCACCTGTTTCTCCTAGATGAGGGAATCACTCTCATTTAGCTAAAACTCTGACCTATAAAACAGCACAAATCTCAAGTGTGGATGTCCAAATGGGAGCCCCGATTACAGTAAGTTGTGACAACCTCATACTCCTAGTTTAATTCGGGTCCTTCTTCTAATGACAACCTCTCCTACGCCAGGGCAAATTTGAATTCCCAGGGCAATGGGAAGTGATGGCATGAAATACAATGAAAACACTGTCTAGCCAATGCTTTTGATTTCCAACACAGCACTACCCTAAACCTAGCTTTGGGGATGCTATTCTCTCAGTGGGTGGTAGGACAAATTGGCCTGGCACCTAGAAGGTACTTGATGTTTGTGGAATGGAAGCATTAAACCCAGTAACTCATTCCAAAAATACATACATTCACTGTAACACTACAGATGTAACCCGGCTCAACTCAGTGCGAACCAACTCCATCTAGAAGTCTGAGGGAGAGGAATGGAAAGGAAGGGACTAAGAACCCACCCCAGTGACCGAAGGCCCTGTGTCTGATGGTTTCTTTTTTTTTTTTCCTCCTTTTTTTTTGTCTTTTTTACTGACCGGCAATGGGATCGCAACCCTCGGTGTCGCGTCCGTACCAGGGACCGGCAACGGGATCGCAACCCTCGGTGTTGCGCCTGCACCGCGCTCAGCCAGTGAGTGGGAACCGGTCTCCACATGGGATCCGAACCCTCAGCAGGAGCACCGCCACGCTCCCAAGCGGCGCACTCTCCAGTGCGCCACTCCGACTTGCACATGCTGAAAGTTATCTTAGTACTGCGAAAGTTATCTGATCACTATTCTGCTCTGGTCCTTAGATGGCTCCCTAACATGTACCAAATCAGAGGCAGATTCCAGGGTCCCACATTTTACCTAATTTCTGATCTTATTTCCCTTGCTCACACTTCAGACTCTAGTCCAATTGAACTACTTTGCTGTTCCTGGTACATGCTTTTGGATTTTCCACCTCGACTTCTGTCCACACTGTTCCCTCTCCTGGCAGGTCCCTGTCCTCCTTGATCTTTACAGGCCTACATTCCTCACTAACCCAAATTAGTCTAGTCTAGAAAACGTGTCAGGGGCTTTCCGGGCTTCTGGAGGCTAGTCCTTCTACCTGGGAGGCTTCCTCTACCCCCCATTCCCTTCTCTTGATTCTGGGCACCATCACCTGAAAGGAAAATTTCCCTTAATACCTCTTTCTCCTTCACTGTAAAACTATGATAAATATTGATGAAAATGTCTCTCCTTAAGCTGCTGCTGAATTCATGAGGATGGGGAAAGTTTGATTTTGCTTATCATTGTTAACCCAGGGAGCTTAGCATAGTACTTGACAAAGAAAAGCCTACACAAGTCAAATAAACAAAGATTTCCATATAAGAATATTCACTAATACACTCTTTATAGTATCTAAAATGGAGAAACGATCTGATACCTAAAGTAGAATGGTTAAATTATGGTTCATATAATGGATTGTCATATAATCACTGAAAGCCATATGACAAGGGGTAATGCTGAGATTACTGTTGAGTGAAAAAAAACAAGAAATAAAACTCTACCTAACTATAGCAAGATCTAAACTATGTAGAATTGGATGTGTGTGTAGGAGGATACAATTAGAGTGTATTTATTCTCTGAAAAATTGTATCTCTTTTGCATATTTTTCTACAGTGAGCATCTATTACTTGATAAGAAAAAGTATTTCTGAAAGACAGCTCAAATGCGACTTCCTTTCAGAAGGTTTCTCTAGACTTTTCAACTCATACTCAAATAATCCCACATATCCCTCTATCATGATGTGGGGGGATTTTTGATAACAAGCACTTAGTTCTCTTCCACCCTGCATTCCCCCAACTGCACAGGGCCCACCGCAGGGTCCAGGATGAAAAACCAGGTCCAGTAAGCATGCATGCAGAGCAGGTCCAGTAAGCATGCATGCAGAGCAGGAGCACTCACCTCATTTAAAAATACCCAAGATGCTTTGCCCTGAATTTTAAGCAGCACATGTGACCTGGTCCATTCTGGTTTCAAGTTCAAAGGCATCAGGCCGGTCCTGTGGGTTAGCAGCTAACATATCTTTCAAGAGCTGCTTGATCCCCTCAGACATGGAAGTCCTGCGTTTCTGGGGGATGTGCAACTCCATCTTTGGGTTTTCTAGCAGCGCCTCACCAACAGGGACGATCTCAGTCCCCTGTTTAATATAGGTCCCCAGGAGCTCCTTCTTGGTCTCAGAGTCAATAAAAGTGATTCTTTCTATCATTGCCCAGATGATAATGCCCAGGGCAAAGATGTCTGCCTTGGCCGTGTAGTGTCCCTCCCAGACTTCGGGAGCCATGTAGAAGTCTGAGCCACAGGCTGAGGACAGCCAGTATTTATTCACATTCACATTTTTGTTGTCTTGATTGCCCTCTTTGCCTCGGGGTGTCAGCCCGGCACAGACCTTGCTTAGTCCAAAGTCTGCCACCTTGAGGATCGGTGTGCCAGACCGCTCTGTGATGAGGATGTTGTCTGGCTTTAGGTCCCTGTGCACGATATGGTTTTTGTGCAGGAAAGCAATGGCACTCGTAAGCTGTAGCATGAAGCTTTTGTTGGTGGCTGGGTCTGGCCTCCGGGACAGGACGTACTGATTCAGGTCTCCACCTTCACAGAACTCCATGACAAACCAGAGATAGCAGGGCTCCTCGGCATAACCCAGGATCCTTTCTCCTAAATCAAAGGACGGAAGAGCTTGAGTGAGATTCACGCCACTTTTAGACTAAAGGAATGCAGCATATTAAAGTAAGAGTGACAGTGGTGACAAGCAGTTGTGCCAAGAGGACCTGCACAACTGGTATCGAGCCAGCTCTACACAGGTAGGCCCGTTTCTCCTCATAAAGACGAGTCAAGGCATGACACAGGTGTAAGGGACTGGTGTCAAGCACCGGGGTTTGGAATGAAGAAGCCTGGGTAGGAACTCAGGTTTACTGCTGTCTGTTGAGCATGAAGCCATTCAGTTTCATTATACTGACTCCAAATGGGCAGCCACCACACCACCCGTACCTCCCAGGGCTGCTGGGAAGATGGGACAAAGCATGTGAGAGGCTATCAAATGTCCACTGCTTCTATCACCACCGCTATCCCACCTCACGCAAATGGCCTTCCCACTCTCCTTTCCTGCCCTGTGTAATGACTCTTGCTGATGGATCTAGAACGGCACTACAATTTTGATTATTTCAAAGAGGCATGCTCCAACCCATCAGTATTTTCTGCTAGCCGCAAATGGCCTTCCCACTCTCCTTTCCTGCCCTGTGTAATGACTCTTGCTGATGGATCTAGAATGGCACTACAATTTTGATTATTTCAAAGAGGCATGCTCCAACCCATCAGTATTTTCTGCTAGCCCCCCATATGCCTGGCACTAGTTAAGTACATGGCATGCCCCCAGCTCTGTGAAGCTTAGTTTCAAGGAGATGACATGTATCACAACAGCAACCATTATAAGCCATACACCCACATCAAAGTCAACTTCTATGAAGGGTGTGCAGGAGTGGCCAGATCTGAAGAAGTCAGAAAGGGCAGGAATTGAATTACCCTTAAAAGTACAGGAAGGAGACCAGCAGAGGGAAGAAGGGAATTCCAGGGCTGAGAGAGGGAACGAATAATGAAAACAGGGACAAATAGACCAGAAAGGTGTCTAGTGGCAACAGTGGGGTCTGAAGCAGCTATATAAGGTGGCGTTCAGTTGTGTGGGCTTGAAATGCCAGGAAAGCTGGGGACTGGCATCTCCAAGCAAATCCCAATAGTCTTTATAAAGCAACTGATGGCACACTGAGCCCTCACCTGGCTGTTATGTGATGACTACAACTGCCCCAAAAGCTAAATCCAAGTAGGCAGATGTCTTATTTTCTTATGAGGAGGCTAGGCCTGCAAGTGAAACGACTTGCCCCGAGTGGTCATGTGTGTCATTTTTAACTAAGCAGGACCTGAAGACAAGTCCTTTGGTCCCCAGTATGGTGTATCCATTCTACCAAAAACGACAGCGGCACTGCCTCAGACAGGCTCTGGCAGAGAGGTCCTTTTTCTAGCTATTTACTTTTTATTACAGAACTGGTGATTCGCATGATATCCCTCTAACCAAAATGGCCCAGAAATTACCAAGGCACACAGTCTACCAAAGCCAGTGGTTTGGGAGTTCTACATTGAGCCAAGAAGATGAACTGATGTACAATACAAAAGCTTTAGGTTTTAGTCCACAATCTGACAGGCCTACTTCCCCTGAGATTATATAATTTGTTTATATTACTAACTATCAAAGTAATACAGGTAGAACCAGTTTAGAGCAGATTTTTTTTTGTTTGTTTTTTAGTCGGTTATTTCCCTTCTCATAATCCTCTTTCTAGGTCATTGGCTGAGTGTGCTGAGGCTCTCTTTCTAAAAACACTGCAAAATGAAACAGCATGCGGAAGCCCAAATCAATCTAGACTCTAGAGTAAAGACCCATAAAAAGGAGAGTAAGAAATGTTTAGTGGTGGTAGAGCCAGAAAGGAAAAGACAAAAAAAGCCATCAAATTTCTTCTGCAAATGGCATATCAGAAAATAGTGAAACTTCTGGTCAGGGAACAGAGGGTGGGGAATGACGATTATTTTGTGTTCCATACCGGTAACTATGGAAACAAATAAAAAGAAAACGAGTCTGCAAAACAGACTATAATGTAAGTCTAGGTTATAAGAATCCAGGGAAAGAAAAAAGGGTAAAAAAAAAACAAACCCCAAAACCAAGTGCCCTAAGTTAGTGAGCGGGTTGGGGAGATGGGACCTTAGACAGAGGAGAAGTGAACTAAGCTCAGGAGACGCTACGGGGGGGTTGTTTGTTGAGAGAAAAAACACTGGACAGGAAGAAGGATTCTCAGAATCAGATACAGCATCAGAGAGCATGACAGAATGGAAAACTGGGGAATGCAGCTACTCGTCCCAGAGACAAAGTGCTTCTTTGCGAGGCAAAGGCCTTGGGCTTATTTCATGAGAAGCTGGAGCATGTGTCTTACATGGGAACACCCAGCTGCCCACTAGAAACAGAAGGGGCACATTAGGATTTCAGTTCTTCACTCCAGGCACTGTCTACCTGGGCCTCTCAGCTACCTCATGACCTGATTTACGGAGGGGACATGGAGGGGACATGGATGGGGCCTGACACTTGGCAGGTACTTAGTGCATTTCTGTGAAGAAGCAAGAAAGGGTGAAGCAACAGGAAAAGCACAGACCAGGAAGCAAGGAGCCTGGGTTTAGACTCCAACTCTGCCCAGTGGTTTGCCAGGTGGATTCTTAGTTCAAAGGGAAACACAGGGAGACTGAGGTATGATGGAATGGTGTCTAGTACCTCGAGCAAGTCTGTCAACCTCTCTGAGCCTCAGTCCTTTCATTTATCAAATGAGAGAACAACACCTATACCACATGATTGCTGTGAATTAGGCCACAGATATAAAATACATTTTGCAGAGTATAAGATACTTTGGAGAAATCATCCACTGACCATCCCTAACATCATCATTCCCATCTCACCCCAATCAAGTCCTTGGAAGTCATGATTTCAATAATTCCAGTGCTGTAGGCCACAGAATAAAGTTCTCACATGTTAGGCAAAAGATGAAATTTAGATCAGAAAATAAAAAGTGGATGATTCCATACAAGGCATCAAATTTCTTAGGCTGTAACAGCTAAAAGCCATGTTCTAGCTGGACCAGACCACTCTTTTATCTGGGATGATCTCTCTACCTAAAAAGCAACCCCCCCAAATCTCTACAGGTATAATTGAGTGTGACCTTAAGGCCAGCTCCAATGCCAATCTACTTTGCACTGGTTCTGAAATGACACTAATTCCTGAAGACCAAAAGTGTCACTGCGGTCCACCAGTCAGAGTAGGGGCTGATGGAGTTTGAGCTCAGGTCCATCTGACAGTGGGCCCAGTGGGTCCCCAACTCCACCCTGTTGTTATTCCCCCAGTTTCAGGATGTTTAACTGGGACAGCCATATGCAGCAACTACTAGAATCCTCACATGAATTTATAGTTCTTTGAGATGACAAAATTTATTTAAGTTTTATAATTCCCTTGTCTGGTATAACCTGACAGTTCTGTAAGATTAAAGCGTTAAAAATTTAGCTTCCTTCCCAGAGATGGAGGGAACAGTGAGTGTTACTAGGAGGTGGGGTAAGTACCTGTGGTAAATTAACTGGGTTCCAGGCACTATTTAAAAGCTCATTATGTGAGCTGTCTCTTCTTACTGGATAACATTTTATTGGTGGAGAAACTAAGGCTGAGAAAGGCTGAGTAACCTGCCTAAGAGCACTGTCTTGAATAGTTGGGCAGGATATGAGCCTTGAGAGCCAAGTCCTTCCACCAGACAATGCTGTCTCCCAGTTCTCAGAGGGCTTAAAAAAAAAAAAAAAAAGTACTTTAAAGAAAGGAGGCAGGCCCACTTTCAGGATAGTTTTACTACTTTTCCCTCAAGTCTGATAGCCAGGTGACCACAAATACACAGGGAAACAGAGAAAAAAAAAAAAATTCCAGCTGGTATCTCACATCTCATTATTCATGGATATAATAAGTAGTGTTGAAGTCTCCCAATAAAATAAAATGTGACCTGGTTCACTAAGAAACTTGAGGCCAGCAGGCTCAGCATAAGGACAAATTAGTATGAGCTCTGGAAAGGTAGGTACCTCCTGGAAAGATACAAAATATCCTGGATTTATAAGCCTATTCCCAAACCTCCTCCAGAAGCTAGATTTCCAGGTTCTGACAATTCCATTTAACCATTTCCTGAGCACACACTGCTGGTCAGACACCAGAGATAAGGGGTGACTTAATGAGCAGTCTCTGCCCTTACGAAGGCTTCTTCTGGTTGTTAGAAGCGGAATGACTTCCACTGTGAGCGCAAGGAAGAGAGTCCAGGTCTGCTTGTGGAGTGGGGAAAGAAGTTGGGTGAGAGAAAGGCAGGCTGCGGACAACTGCCAACAAGGCCCTTCAGCTGCGTCTCCCAGGATGTGGAGGGAGAGTGAGCACACGTGCACGGGGGTGTAAGCGTGCAGCCAGGGACCCAAGCAGTCTGGGAAATCTCAGAAGAGATGTAGTAGAGGTAGAAATGAGGATGATGTTCTATGGCAGACTGATACCCTAAGAAATGGGAAGTGACTAAAAGTTCTCTATCGAGGGCCGACCCCGTGGCTCACTCGGGAGGAGAGTGTGGCGCTAGGAGCGCAGCAGCGCTCCCGCTGCGGGTTCGGATCCTATATAGGGATGGCCGGTGCGCTCACTTCACTCGGGAGAGTGTGGCGCTAGGAGCACAGCAGCGCTCCCGCTGCGGGTTCGGATCCTATATAGGGATGGCCGGTGCGCTCACTGGCTGAGCGCGGCAGGTGACACCACGCCAAGGGTTGCGATCCCCTTACCGGTCACAAAAAAAAGTTCTCTATCAAGAAAGACACTATTTTATTTTTAAAGATGACCAGTAAGGGGATCTTAACCCTTAACTTGGTGTTGTCAGCGCCACACTCTCCCAAGTGAGCTAACCGGCCATCCCTATATACAGATCCGAACCTGTGGCCTTGGTGTTATCAGCACCACACTCTCCCAAGTGAGCTAACCGTCCATCCCTATATACGGATCCGAACCTGTGGCCTTGGTGTTATCAGCAACACACTCTCCCGAGTGAGCCACGAGCTGGCTCTAAGAC